AGAAATTTTCAAAACTTCAAGCAAGCAAAAATAATTTCAAATCAATTTGTAAAACTATAAGCGAAATTTTACAAATCTTCAGGGAAATTCGCATAACTTCAGACAAGTCAAAGAATCTACAGTGAAATATAAAGTATTACACAGAAGTTTGGAGATCCTCGAAACATTATTCAACATCACAAAAGTTCGTAGATCTTCAGAACACAGCTACAGAACTTTGAAAAAAATCACAGGACTTCTGAAAAAATCACAAAAATCTCAGAAATGTTAATGGATCTTCAGTAAAAATTGCAGAACTTCAGGGATTTAAAAAAATAAATATTTACGATTTCAGGAAAATTTGTAGATCTTGAGAGAGACATTTAAAACTTCAAGGAAGCTCAAATATTTTCTGATAAATTTTGACAACTTTAGGTAATCTTCAAGGAAATTTTCAAATCTTCAGGGTAACCCTAGAGGAATTTACAAAACATCAGAGAAGTTTGCAGATCTAATGAGAAATTTATGGAGCCTCAAGTTTTTTTTTGTAGATCTTGGGAATAGAGCTACGGAGCTTAAGACAACTTTACAGAACTTTAAAGATATTTGCAGGAATTTGACGGAAAGTTTCACAGTTTCACACAAATGTGAGATCTTCAGAAAAATTCGTTAAATGTCAGAAAAGCACCTCAATTCCAAAAACAAATCGCAGCGAAGTACAAAAGTACAATATTTTGCAGAACTCCATGGAAGTCGAAAATAGATAAATCTAAAGAACTCCAGAGAAGTCCGTAGACCTTAAGAGAAGTTTGTAGGACGTCAGAAAATTCGTACGTTTTTAGAAAAATTTGCAAAACTTCAGCAAAACTCGCAGATCTTCGGGAAAATTTGCCGATCTTTAGATCAAGAATCCACAAGAAACCACAAAGATCTTTAGATCAAGAATCCACAAACTTTAGAAAAGTTCGGAGATCTACTGTGAAATTTATTGAACTTCAGGGCAGTTCGTAGATCTTTAGAGCAGAAATACAGTACTTCAGAAAACTTTACAGAATTTGAAATAAATTTTAGGAACTTTAGAAAAGTTCAGAGGGTAGGTCGTAAATCTACTCAAAAATTAGCAGATGTTTAAATAAATTTTCAGAATTTTACTGCGGTTCTTGGATTTTGAAAGACATTCACAGAACTTCAGGTAAGTTCGCTGATCTTTAGAGATATTTGCACAGCTTTAGAAAAATTAAAAAAACTTCAGAATTCTTGCTAAAACTTCCGAAAAGTTCAAAAATTTCTAGATAATCTTTTAATTCTTTAGAAAATTATATAGATGTTCAGAGATATTTGCAGATATTCATTGAATCATGAAAATCTGCAGAGAATATTACAGAACTTTCGAGAAGTTTGTAGATTATTAGAAATGTTGTGAACATCAGAGATAATTTGTTGATCTTCAATGATCTTAAATCTTCAGGGATTCAGGAACTTTGTAGATTTTTAGGAAAATTTGCTGAACTTCTGAAGAACACACAGAACTTCAAAGAAATCTGTAGAACTACCGAGACATTTGCAGATTGTCAGGAAAGATTGTTGATTTTTAAGGAAATTTTACCGGAGAACAGAAACAAAACTTCAGGGACGTCAGAAGGTTTGAAGACCTTGCAGAATTGAGTTGTTAACAGAAATTTTCAGAACTCAAGGAATCATGTATATCTAGTGAGAACTTTTCCCACTAGCTTGTCTAAAGTTGGTATCGACATCCTGGCGAAGTTTTGAAATCCATTTTCCTCTTCATATAGCAGCTCTTGATGAACAAGATGAGCCAAATCCCTGCCGGTGTTCCTCCTGAGCAACCATTTCCTACTCCACAAAGTTCACCTTCTCTTTCTCATTTTATTTAAAATAATAAAAGCAAATACGTCTGCCGAAACTAGAGCAATTTTCCGGTAATTCATGATGGAAGTATTTACTTTTGATTCCTGATACAGTTTTGTTTTGAAATCTAAATTGACAGTTCTTTCGACATGTGCAAGCAGTGTGAACACCAGCAAACAGGGGGGTTCGATAAAATAATAATGTGTATAATTTGTATGCACCTGGAATTTTTTTCATCCGACCTGGAAAAACCTGGAAAACTCAGGGAATTTGATTCCTTGGATTGAGTAGACACCCTGTTTTATCTTCAGAAAAACTTAAGGTGAACATTCCAAGAAATGGGGAGCAACGACCAATGAACTTCTTCTGAATACACCTAGACGCTAAAATATACGCAGGCTACAGAAAACTATTAAGTTCGAGAATGTTCACTTTTTAACCACTGTTATTTCCTATGGGATTGTTGTTCTAAAACTCGATGGTCCCTTCAATAACGAGCGGTAGAGAGTTCACCGTATTTACAAGCTAATGTACATTCTCAGTCTGCATGGCCTACTTCATTTTAAGATTCGACAAAATTTCTCAAACATTTACGGTAGGCCTGCTGCGATTTTGAAATCGGACCCACTCCGAGCTGAACCAAACCGTCAAAAGACTCAGCTTTATCTATAGCTACTGATCGTTTTTCGCGCCAGCTTCGATAAACACAAACCGGGCAATTCGCTCCGGAGCTTCCAGTGTTGCTCGCTGCCACTGCAAACTAAGCAGACGAATAAATATGTATGTTATGATAGTTATGATTAGAAGAAGCGTAGGACCATCGTCGTCGTCGTCGTCGTCGTTGTGGGTAATAAATTTCAGCTCCAGCGACCGAGTCGACCTCTCAAACACATCGCCAAGGAAGATGTTGATGATGATGACGGTGCTGCAGCAGCAAATGCGCTGCTTGGGTGCTGTCGATAAGAAGATATAGAGCCTAAACTGGTCCTTCTGGTAGAAGGGAGCAAAAGTGCTTCCAGCGACTACCACTCGGACGACCAACCGACTAACCAGCTGGGATGGGGGTAATATATTTTCCTAATGAAAGAGACCTAAAACTGTGCGCTAGGCTGTGTCTTGGAGGTTGGAAATTGTGGCTCTATGTTTGCTAATACCTGCGTATGGATGGAGCACGTACGGTTGTACTACAAGTGTCGTTAGCGAAGATGAAATGGTAACTGGAACTTTGAGATCGGCTTTGGCCGAGGCTCGTTGGATACGATTATAGATTATAAATGAAGATTATATTTAATGCTACGTGCTCGGAGCTGCTGTTGCTGTTGCAACGACGAGAAGCAGAAGCCAGGCGCTTCTGCCTCGGCGAAGCATCTAATGAAAGTTTATTATCTCACTGAACCGTCCACGTCCTGGCAGGCAGCCTGCAGACCCGTATGAATGACGATGATTTACAACTGTGGCATCTTCCGCGTAAATCAAACAACCCACCATTCACAGCGTGCGGGATGACACAAACCAGTTCCATCCATCCATCCGTTCCCTTCCTCAATCAATTAACGCGCCGCACGAAAAGCGAAAGCGTCCATTTCAAAGTATAGAGGATCAGGAACGCACAAAGTAGTAGGCTCTTACTACTCAATTTCATCCTCAAGTCGGAACCTACTGCGATCGCTTCGCCCGCAGCTGTCAAACTTTCGACGACCTAATTAATCGACTTGGGCCACCGCCGCCGGCCAGGGAATAATGTTCTTGTGCCGTCTAATTGGATGGTGCTTGAAGGGATCCGATTAAAATGCGATTACAAGTTGCACGGATTGGAGTTCCAGCGACGAGCGCCCGGGATTGCGTGCAGTATGGCAATTAATTAGATAAGTTTCCATCCAGCATTGCCGACGAATGGTTGTTTGGATTGAGCGGCTATTCGATACGAATCGTTTCCTTCAGGTGCGCTTGGAATTTGTTCGTATCACGATTTTGACCCGAAGGGTGGGAAAAATATTAGAATTCTTTTTCGAAAATTTTACTGTTTTTACCATCCAAAGCAAGTCGTTGAAATGTCACAATTGCAAAACACGATGGCCGCGCACGCACGCACTGGGTGCAATCGAGTGCTAATCGAGTTAAATGAAATCTAGGCTGCTTTGCTTGATTTTATACCCGCTAATCACCATTATCAGCTCTGCATGTTCATCGACATCGTCGTCATCATAATCGATGGAGTGCAATGAAGTAATCGTTCCACAGTACCTACCTACTAGACAACTGGCAGGAGCCCATGTTGCTGGGTAGTCATGGTATCATAATTATTTAAGCATTACACTGGGCCTACTGCGGTGATGATGGTGCGCTGCCATGCGCCCAGACGTCCGCTGACGGTTATTAGTGTCGTCGTTTATGTCAACAGATTAAAGCCTCGCAAAGGTGTAATGAAATGATTGGAATTTGTTTGCGATAAACAAATTTGTAAATATTGCACATAAGTGGATTACTCGCGGGAGGCGAGCACATTCAGCTGGGCATTAATTGCTGCAGGTGGTGATTCCGGACGGGATGCACGATTGCCACGGAATCGTGTTCCTTGTTTGGACTCATATAAAGTCTATGGAGAACCACCACAATTCCCGCGAATTAAATGTTTTCGGCTGCCCAGATTCGTATCACCTATGCGTTCACATGTAAGCTTATAATGAGCAGCTAATCACTAAAATTCGCAATTAGCAATCCGCAAAAAAAAATCCGAATCGCAATCCGAACCACACCCATCTTCTAGTTCAATGTCAAACACCATGCTGGTGCTCCGCTTCGACGGAGCTTTGAAAAAAATTGAAGCATTATTGACCCAATTAATATCGATTGAAACAGCAATTTAACAATTACCGACCACTTTTCGTCGGTCGTCGTTGTTATGCCGGTTAGAAGGAGGGGTATGAGGAGAAATGCATCCAACATAAACCGACAACGACGCCGAAGTGCTTTGATCAAGGTGAGCTGTAGTAAGTGAGTGCGTGAAATAAAAAAAAAAATCAAAGTAGACAGCGAAATCAAAAAGAGCCACTCAAAGCACGAGAGTTGAGTGCACTCTCTCATCGCCAACTTTGGTGATGATGAAGATGATGAATGCATTCCCAAAAAAAAAGAAAGATGGTGGCACTCACCTGATCGAATCCTTGCAACGGTTGATTACTGCCGGGGCCATTATTGTTATTGTTGCTGGGGCCACTCCCGGAGCCCGCCTGACTGCCCGTCGACTGACTTCCATTAATGGGTTCCGGACCGCCGTTTTTGGAACCGCCTCCACCCGTTCCCGGACCGCCGGGCGGTCGGTCGGCCGCCGACGGGATACTGGGCTGTCCTCCTGTCGCCGTGCTGCCCGTTAACGTTGCGGTCGTCGTCGTTGCCGTCGCCGTCGACGCCCTTCCTCCTCCGGTTGCTCCGTTGACGGTCATTTCCGCAGCGGCCGCACCGCCAACAAAGTCGAAAAAATCTGTCTTTCCCAGATCCTCAGGCCGAAACGATTCACTTATGTCCATGCCCGATGAAGTCATTATGCCATTCGTGATGATTTCCAACATAAATATGTCCGATTGCACTTTGCGCTGCGAAATGCTGCACCAGATAACGACTAAACGGTTCTTGCCACTTGCTTGATCGAAAAAATAAAAATAAATAAAAAACCAAGCAGCGAAGACCGATTGAGATTACGAAAATTTAAATGTTTTTTAAATTGATACGCGTCGGGTTTCGGGGCGTAGCAGGCCGCGAAGGTTTGCTGTTTATCGAAATTAATGACGTCGTTGCCGAGTCGTCGCAGTTGGCCGGCGGTTGTCGGTTGCTTTGGTGGTGCTGGTGATGATGATGACGACGACGACGACGGTTGGCAGTGGCAGCAATTGATGGCAGTGATGCATTTTCCGTTGAGCTGATGGTCTTCAGGTGGTGCACGTCTGGAAGAAGGCGGGAAAGAAGGGGGCACATTAACCAAAATGAAAATGAATGCTAATGAGAATGGATTTGCGATCGTAAGCTCGATCGTGAGAGTTTGGTTGGGAGGTTTCTGGAAAAGTTTAAGCTGTGGGCAAGTCGGATGTTGACATTTTAAAGTAAATAATTGAACAGTCTCGGTTATTGGCGAACGGATCAAGGGCAATTTCGAACGGTTCTCTTTAACGTCTTATGAAATATCCGTAGAATACAGTAGAATTCATTCAATTAAGTCTTGAATTAGTAGTATTTCAAAGGGGTAATCAACTCTACACACTGTGCCAAAGAACAACGAGGCACACTGTTGGGCACGTTTAAGGCACATGTTGACGCATATGACTCAATCAATATAAAATAAAATAGCAACACTGTTGAATACTGACTTTTTTCCAATCGATATTTATTCATTGCCGTGGTTACTACTTTGTTTACTCCAAAGTGAAGTTAGTGCTTGTAAAAAAATCCCATGCGAAGTGGACTCCTAATAGGACCTGTCGGACCAATGATCCGATCGAATACTATCGGTCCCCTTTGGAATGTGTTTATTAAGTCATAAAAAAATCCTTTTATTTTTTAGATTCTCAGATCAACTGAACCTTCAGAATACCGGTGACAACAATCTGGAAATTCGTCATTTGACCGGTTCCCAACTTGAAGCTAGTTGCCCCGATTGTTACTGAAGATATTCCAATCAATCTGTCCTGAAGCAACATGATCCTGAATATGATCATTCGTGGTGGCAGTCTATGAAGAATGGAAGCTAGCAACAGTTCTCCGGCCGGATCATCTGTAGAGAACTGGGTGTCACCCTTTATGAAAAGAGCTCGCGTACTCTTCTAGAATGATACCGAAAGCAGCACCAAGCTGAATCTTAAAGATGAAATTAGAATAAGGTTATAGATTAGATTCTGACTGAAGACTACTTCCAGAAATGAACAACTGGGTTGTCCATATATTGGATGTGATAATTGTAATAGTGTTAGCATGAGATTTTGTGGTGCTGTTGCTGTGAAAATGATCATGCCATGGCTGTTTCACTGCTAGCAAATGGTGATTGTGTTTCTGGGTTTTTTTTTCATGCTGGTTGAATCAGTAGATCAATAGACACGTTCTGTTGGTTCACTGCGAAAAGGATGGAATGAGTATTAGCAACCGGTGGCAACTAACGATTTTAAATTGGCTCACTACTTGACTAGCCTATTGGTCCCAAGCAAATCGATTACGTACCCCATTCTAGTTCCTGATGAATGTGGGCGTCTTAGTGGAATACCTGTATAATGAGAGAGAGAAGGATTAGTATTTTCCATTTAATTCCACTACTTTATTTGCTTATCCTTGACAGATACGCGTATTTCGTCTACAATGTGCAGACTTCTTCAGTGTCTTGTACTAATACTCGACTGAGGTCAGTCGAGTATTAGTACAAGACACTGAAGAAGTCTGCACATTGTAGACGAAATACGCGTATCTGTCAAGGATAAGCAAATAAAGTAGTGGAATTAAATGGAAAATACTAATCCTTCTCTCTCTCATTATACCATTCTAGTTGATATTCTAGTACTACACTATATTTGTTTTGATTCGCTATGAAAGTTTGACAGATAAAATTAGGGGTTCTTGGATTTTCCTATGTGTCGAGGGGTGCATTGATTAGCTTGGGACCGAAGATAGTACCAGAGCTGAGCCAAAAAGTTGAGCACGTTGCTTCGGGACCTTCTGGTCTTAGAGTTACCTCTATGGTATTAGCTTGTGTCTCACTTCCTACAATATCTTTGAAAGGCCAACCTGTAAACTGCAGCAAACTTGTCAACACAAACAATCACGAAAGTCATTATAAATTTAGGGTTATCAAACATATGCGATGTTGACACGTTACTTGGCACACTTCGATATGATCGGCACAGTGCTTGGTACAGCTTTCGGCTCAGCTAAAACGCTCGGCACAGGCTAAGGGGTGCAGAATTGAATACTCCTTGAGTATTTCTTTGAAAATTGTTATGAAATTTATCTGAATCCTCTGTATAATCCCGAATACTCTTATGGTTCTCATGGAAAACCTCTCAATATCCCATTTAAGTTTTCTTAGGTACCCTTAGAAAACATCCAAACTCCTCCCTGGATCATCATATGATAAGCGCTTCGATCTGACCTAAGATGCCCTTTGACTGGTGACAAGCTCTCTTGAATAAACTTTTCTGAAATGCCCGATATTGGCATGAACTTATCTTTGAACCTAGTGCAGCTAAATCCGTTATGTTTTCTAACTCCTCTTGGATTGTTTCTTTTTTCGAATGACTGCTGAATACGAAACATTTGCATGCTTCAGAAGCGGGCTTGAAGAACTCTGGAAGACGTTTTTGGACATTCAAAAGCTACGGTTTCCCAGATAACAAACTTTCGTAACGTATATTTTTGAAAATCACGAAAGTCCTTTAAACATTGAACAGTTCCACGCCAAATGAGGAATCGATCTGATGGGACCTTCTCCGATTTGCTTGAAACTTTGCACAATTGTTTGTTATGAGTTGGGAGGCAATGCTATCCTTATATCAACATGAAGCTTTAGTGCGATAATTTACTACCTAGAGAAAGCTCTAAATATGATAGATTGATAGTTCCGCAAATTGAAAAAAAGTTGGAATTGAGGTAAGAGCCATTTATGCGACAATAATAATCAAACGCACACTCTTTACCTCCTTTAGCTCATACGTTGATGGGTGAGGTATTTCCTAAAGGTAGGTCCTTTAGGTGGTGATAAACGTCGCTAGCACTATTCCACAGCCTAAAGGCCCAAGCGCAATGACGGCGGAAGCGGAACGGCAATGGCAGCGGAAAAGCCCGATCTAAGTAAGCCTACTTGTCTGATTGAAAACTAGTTACAACCAAATCGACTTCGGTTAGGCATCTTGATGTCATTTGTGACAACTGTCAAACTTTCCGTTTCCGTTCCGCTTCCGCCCACATTGCGTTTGGGCCTTAAGACAGTATATGAGCAAGTCAAACGCGCACTCTTTTGTCTGTGGATTTGAGGAAATACCTCAAATACCCCCATCCATCAATGTATGAGCTACTTAAAGGAGTGTGAATTTGTTAGAACATACTAAGCGCTTTTATAATTGTTCAATAAAACTTCATTCGTTACTTGGGCTCTAACTTGAGTAGACGTTTCTATCAGGTTATGGGCCCAGGGAAGTTTCCATAGTTACGGCCGTTGTTACCAGCCGAAAGTGAATTTTTTTTCTCGAAGTCACCAAAGAAGCAAAGCCATGGGAAGAACTCGGCGTTCCGAAGATAACTTGGAGCCTTCTGGAAACCGAACTGGTGGCACTTCAATACAGAATGCGTCAGTGGTGAAAGATGGGAGGATTCCAAGCGGCAGTATTTTGCTTCCGGTGGTGCAGAAACTCAAAGGACGGGGAACTATGTACGTGACCTGGACCTTTGCGATGCGGATGGTGATGATCCACGAGAGAACCTGCCGCGCAGTAGATTCCCCGGAAGGTGTTCAAGTCGACCAGGATTTGTCGGACAGGGCATTGGTAACCATCTGCCTTAGTATTGAACCGTACAACTACAGCCTTGTCCAGCGGGCCAAGACTGCGAAGGAGGCCTGGAACAGTCTGAAAACGGCGTGTCAAGACTGCGGACGATACCGGAAGATAAGCTTGCTGAGGAAGTTGGAGCTGGAAGATTGTTCGTCCGTCGAAGAGTACATCGAGGAAATCATGCCCACGAGCCACAAGCTGGGAGAAATTGGTGTCGTGTTGGATGATGAGCTCAGGTGAAATCAAAAATTATTCAAGACGTCGCCATGGATACCAATGTCAAGTCAAGCGGTGCTGCCGGAGCGCTAGCCACTCGTGAAAGGAAGTTCCAGAAGAAGAAGGATAAGTCCGGTGTACAATGTTTCAAATGCGAGCGTTCACGCGTCCGAGTGCCAGGTGAAGCTGAAGTCGAAGCCCGAGAAAGGATTCCATGAAAAGCAAACGGCTTTGATGGCGTGCATGAAATCGAAGCTGGAGACTGAAGACTGGATTATGGATTCAGGAGCAGGACGGCACATGTGTAAATCCGAGCAAGCATTTATCAACAAAAAAGAAGTCTCGCAGAGCATTTGTGTGGCTAATTCAACCGAAGTTCCTGTTCCGGCCGTCAGCAGCGTCAAACTGGATTCCGATGTAAAAAGTATGTGCAGTACTCTAGATATCGCTGATGTTCTGTTCGTTCCAGACCTAGCGTTCAACCTGCCCTCGGTGGCCCGTATTTGCGAGAAGCGGTACCGGATCAATGTCTCGAGGAACTTTTTCGATGTAGCCAGCGAGTCCACCGGTGAGATCATCGCGACCGGTACGGAGGTGGATGGGCTATGGGTAAAACCCGGGGAGAATCTGGAGCTGTGGCATAGACGGTTCACCTGGATCTGGACAGTGTGAAGCCGTCAATGGTTGCTGGGATCGAAGTCCGTGGCCAGGACATACCAACGTGCATCGAGTGTGCTGAAGGTAAGCATCACAAGTAACCGTTCAAGTCGGTGAGTAGGCGATCCACTGAATTGCTGGAGCTGGTCCATTCGGACCTATGCGGACCAATGGAGACGACAACGGAACCGAGTATGTCGGAAATCAATTCGAGCAGTTCTTGAAGGTATGCGGCATCCGTGACGAGACATCGGTTGCCTACAATCCGCAACAAAACGAACTTGCGGAAAGGATGAACCGGACGATCGAAGAACGCGCCAGATGTTTGCTCTTCGATGCTGGATTGAACATGCGGTTTTGGGCTGAAGCAACCTCAACGGCGGTATTCTTGATTAACAGATCGCCAACAAAAGGTAAGCAAATGACACCAATTGAAGAATTCACTGGAACGGTGCCAGACGTTTCAAATGTACGAGTTTTCGGATCGAGGGCGATGGCGTATGTCCCAAAAATTAATCGGAAGAAATGGGATCCGAAGTCGAGGC